AATTAGTCTGAGGAGCAATTTGTGCCTTCCACAGAATGCAAATCAGGGAAACTTAATAGCTAAGTGTGGACACAGAAAGACACAAAGAAAGCTATGCCAAAACCACCTTTATCCAAGAGTTATTGTGGGCATATTCAAGACTGTATCCCCTAGAAGCAATATTAGAAGGTTCACACTATGTATGCGGGGCATTTTTTTGAGGGGAAGGAGGAGTAAACATCTCTAAAATAAGCCAGCCAGGTAGTAAAAAATTAAACAAGCAAACAACATTAAAAATCATGTGGGAGATGAGACCAGAATTCAATGTATTTTCAAAAATGTCCAGTTTCCAACATAACAATTATGAAACAAGCAAAGAAACAATAAAAGAGGTATGAAAGAAAAGCTGCTTGATAGAGTGATCAGCTATCATATTTAACAGAAAACTAACTCAAAATACCCATTGTAAAATGTCTTAAAAAACTAAGGAAACTATGACTAAAGAAGTAAAGGAAAGCATGATGATGAAATTAATAAAAAAGAACCAAATGGAAATTCTGGATTTGTAAACTACAATAACAGATAAAAAAAATCACTAGAGGGGCTCAGGAGATTTGAATTGGTAGGAAAAAGAAGAATGAACAAACTTCAAGACTGATAGAGATGATGCAGTCTGAAAAACAGAGAGAAAAATAAAGAAAGAAAAATAAACAATCACATACATACATGGTACACAGTTAAATGTACCAATAAATGTTTAATGAAATAAGCCGAGAGGAAAAAAGAAAAGAAAAAAACATCAGAAAAATGAGATGAGTGAACATAGCTGGAAGTGTCACACTCTCTGATCTCAAATAATATCAAGCTATAGCAATTAAAACAGTATGATATTTGCACAAAAAGAGATACTTAGATCAATGGAACAGAATAGAGAGCTGAGAAATAAATGCACACACATACGGTGAATTAATTTACAACAAAGGAGCCAAAAATACACAAGAGGGTAAGGACATTTTCTTCAGTAAGTGGTGCTTGGAAACTAATCAAACACATGTAAAAGAATGAAACTATACCACTATTTTATACCATACACAAATATTACTCAAAAATAGATTAAATATCAGAACATAAGACCTAAAACTATAAAACTCCTAGAAGAAAACAGATGCTTATGTAAACTCCTTGATATAGGTTTTAGTGATATTTTGAGTCTTGACACCAAAAGTAAAAGCAACAAAAGCAAAAATAAAGAAGTGGGACTACATCAAAATATAAAGCTTCTGCACAGCAAAGGAAACCATCAACAAAATATAAAGGCAACCTTCTGAATGGGAGAAAATATTTGCAAATCAATTATCTGATAAGGAGCTAATATCCCCAATATAACAATCTCACACAACTCTGTAGCAAAGAAACAGTCTGATTAAAAACTGGGCAGAAGACCTGATACACACTTTCCAAAGAAGACATACAGATGGCCAAAGGCACATGAAAAGATGCTTAACATCATTAATCACACATGCCTGTGTGCTAAGTCACTTTAGTTGTGTCCAGCTCTTAGTGACCCTATGGATTGTAGCCCACCAGGCTCCTCTGTCCATGGGATTTTCCAGGCAATAATACTAGAGTGGACAGCCATTTCCTCCTCCAGGGGATCTTCCCAAACCTGCATCTCCTACACTGGCAGGTGGATTCTTTACCACTGAGCCACCAGGGAAGACCTAACAACATGGTATTGTGCTCTATCTAAAACATTTGTTAAGACCGCAAATCTCATGTTAAGAACTCTTAACATAGAAAAGAAAAAAGGAATACAAGGAAACTTTTGGAAGTGAGGGGTATGCTATTGCTTTAATTGTTGTGGTAGCATCACAGTACATGCATACATCCAAACTCATCAAATTATATACTTTAAATATGCAGTTTTTTTTGCATATCAATTATACCACAAATATTTTAAATAAAGAAAAATAATAGAAAATATCAAAAAAACTAAGAGAAGGGTCTTTGAAAATATCAGGAAAATTAACAAATCTTTACCTATACTGATCAAGAATAAAGGAGAGAAAAATCAAATTACTAAAACAAGGTATGGAAGAAGGGCCATCACAACTGCTTTTGCAGGAAAAAAAAAGAAAAAACAAGGATTATAAGGGAATACTATGTAAAATTCCATGCCAACAACTTAGATAATTTAGAAGAAATGTACAAATTCCTAGAGTGGCACAAACGACCAAACCAATTCAAGAACAGAAAATCTGATTAAGCCATAACAATTAAAGAGATGGAATTAGTAATAAACTGAAGTTCCCACAAAGCAAAGCTCAGAGACAGATGGCTTCAGTTGTGAATTCTAGCAAACATTTACCAATCCTTCACAAATTCTCCCCAAAAATAGAATGGAAAGGACCACTTCCCAAATCTTTCTCTAAAGCTATTATTGGTGATATAAAAAACAGATAAACACATCACAAGAAAAGAAAGTAAATCTTGTGGTTATACATGCAAGATCTTTAACCAAATACTAGTAAACCAAACTTTACAACATGTAAAAAAAGCATTATACAGCATGAAAATACTTGTATTCTGCCAAAGAGGAATTTGAGATCTGGTACACAGAGGTGTGAGAGCTAATTCTATCTCTCTTAAATCTACACTGGATAGGGGATTAAGAAATGTAAACTACCATGTATAAGTAAGCTATAAGTATATGTTTTACAGCACAGAGAATAGAGCCAATATTTTATAATAACTATGAATGGAGAATTACCTTTAAAAATTGTGAATCACTATACTGCATTTCTGAATATATAATATTGTATATCAAGCATATCTCAATAAAAAATAAATGTTTAAATTTAGACTGGGTCACCTTTTTTGTTAAAAGTGTTGTTAAATTTTGATAAAGTAGGATCACATCTGGTCACTGTGCTGCATACAATTTTTTGGAAAATATTCTGAAATTTTAAATTTTATTTGAAAATACACTGAATATGAGATTATTCATAATAAAATTCGGATCATTTTTGTAAGTAATATGAAAAACTCGGTCACTTGTTTTATTGTTTATAACATTAAAGTAGTCTATGTCAATTATTTGACATTAAATTTCCTCTCATTCCCTTTTACTGCATTTTATCTTTAAAAGTAATGTATGTTTACCATAAAATATTGATTTTACAGATTTTGTGAGTGGCCTTAAATTTTCATGATTATATGCCTATTACCTAAGTTTGAGGGCCACATTCACATAAGAGATGAGGGAGTCAAAAGTCTCCAACAAATAATCTTGTCCTCTACCAAACCATGTATTCCTCATAAGAAGTAACAATTTTAATTACATCTGAGATAAATCATAAAATTGGCTTCCCTGATGGCTCAGTGGTAAACATTCTGCCTGCAATGTAGGAGCCACAGGTTTGATCCCTGGGACAGAAAAATTCCCTGGAGGAGGGCATGGCTACCCACTCTAGTAGTTTTGCCTAGAGAATCACATGGACAGAGGAGCCTGGCAGGCTACAGTCCATAGGGTCCCAAAGAGTAGGACATGACTGAAGTGACTTAGCACACATGCATGCATGCAAATCATAAAATAACAATGAACAATTATAATATTCTACCAATGCCAGGAACTTGGAGATTTTCTTTCAATTCTACCACTAGAATAAGAGTTAACATATTTGATCTTGATTTTCTCTGATGAACTGCAGTCAGTCATTTGGTTCATTTAAGGGTATATTTTAATGCTGGATTAATGCCATATATTCTGATATTTTTTGTTCCTTACATTCTGATATAACATTTTAATAAAATTACAGTAAATAAAATTCTCCCTCACTGAATATGGGAACCATAAATTCACCAATAACTGTTTTAACAAAAGAATTTTTGTTTTGTCAACAATAAATAATATTGCTAATAAGAAATTACCAAAAGCCCAGACATATAGTAATTTAAAAACTGAAAATTATCAAATACTAATATAATAAACATACATGCAATTTCCAAGCAACACAAGTATTGTTGTAAGAATCTGACTTTTAAAGTTGGTAGAAAGAGAGTTCATAATTTAAGAAGTATGTAAGGTATGGAGGAGGGCATGGCAACCCACTCCAGTATTGTTGCCTGGAGAATCCCCAGGAGATTCAGAGGAGCCTGGTGGGCTACAGTCCATGGGGTCGCAAAGAGCTGGACACGACTGAGCGACTAAGCGCAGCACAAGGTCTCATTAAGGGCTTTCCAGATAGCTCAGTGATAAAGAATCCACCTGCCAATGCATGAAACGCTGGCTTAATCCCTGGGATGGGAAGATTCCCTGGTGAAGGAAATGGCAACCCACTCCAGTATTCTTGCCTGGGAAATCCCATGGTCAGGGGAGCCTGGCGGGCTACAGTCTATGGGGTCACAGAAGAGTGGGACATGAGTTAGCAGCTAAACAACAATAAGATACAATTATCCATCTTCTCCCTCAACATGTAAATCTATAGAAAGATATTTTCTATTTGGGACCTTAAATAAAACTTAAGCATTTTATTGTCTTTTTGTTCCAAATATATTTTGTTGTTATTGTTGCTGTTAAATCTAAAGAGGTACAAATGAACATTTGCTGTGCAGTTTTAATTAATCATGATGCTTTAGGTGACAATAAATTTTCTGCTTGAATCAACATTTCACTTTTGGAAATTAACAGATAGGAAGAAATTATAAGTTTAAAAGTCTATTAATTATAAATTTTAAGAAACTGAAAGAACTATACATTTCAATGAAGATAAAGCTTATTGGCAAAATTAATAAATTTGACACAATCAGCATTAGCTTTGTAGAGATGAAACAGCATTTCAAGGAAAACTGATTTACCTTCATTATTTGTTCTATTTTATCTGCTGATGCTTATAAATTTATAGCAATATAAATATGCAAAATTTCTCCTCAAAACAGTTCACATTTAAGAAAACTACATAACTTCTCTTAAGACTGGATATGGCTAATTGCAATAAATTTACATCAAATCAATAACTTACTTGAAGTCACCAGAAGCTTCGAAGGGATTTTTAACTTTCACAGTAATTTCTTTCCATGTATAACATGGGGATTTGCATTTTATAGTTGCCTAAGGTAAAAAAGAAATAAAACATACTATATGATAATAACAAAAAAGAATATCCTCAACTATAAAATATAGGCTTAAAGTATCTAAAAACCTGTCCATTTAAACATTTCAGAGATATTAATTTATATAAACATTATACTGCCAAAATCTGAGTGGAAAAAAAAATAGATTTTTACCTCATCACCAATCCATAGTACTATGCTAACAACTGAATGATTTGTCACAATACTGTCTCCCAAATTTATTTCCTTAAAATTCATTTTGTTCATGACTGAGCATGATTTTATATTTGCAAATTAACCCATCATATATATACACACACACACACCGAATACACATGACATAAAGAAGAGGCAGGTGTGTGTGCACATGTGCACACTGGTGTGTGAGTGCAAGAGTATCTGTGATATCTGTGTTGGAATGTGTGTGACTGTGGCATGCCTGTGTTTCTAATGCAGTGGCTGTACTGATATATTTTTACTGTAATAAAAGCACAAATATAAAACTTAAACTCAAATTACTCAAGACTTGCATGAAGGAAAAGATTTCAGGAATTCCACACTTCTAGACTAATCAGGATCTTACCTTATTCCTCCATTATTATCCAATTATTTCCTGATGTCTAAGACCATAAGTGGCCAAATGGAGAAGTAAACAGAGATCATATAAGGTCCAAGTGTCAGCTTTTCCGCCCCAGAGCCATGATAACGACAGGCTAACACCATCCATCCACGTCTCTTAAACACACGTGGCAAAGCAATGTTTTTTTTTTTTTTCCAGAGAATTTGTGTGAGAGGGTTGGGAAATGTAAGAATTCAGGAGGAAATCAGAAGATCACAATAGTATCTCAGTGACAGTCAAACATGTGCTTTCTGTTCCGGGTGTCCTTATTGAATAAGCCATTCTGTCCAGGTGAGCATCTTAATGCTCTCCTCACACAAAGCGGCCTTCTAGAGTCATTCTCTTTACCTCCCACTCAAGCCACTGCACACCTATGGTTCCTCATAATCCATATGAAAATCTGGCAACATAAATTTTCTTCTTTGCCATACAGCCATGGTAGAAAATAATACTTAGACAAACTAATGGCTACACAAGTCAATCATAATAATATCACAACTACTTTACAGAGATTTAAAAATCCTTCTCCCCCATCCTTTGAGGTAGTAACACTTTAGAGCTCAGACTGGAACATCATTACCTCTCACTAAATGCCAGTCTTAGCACTATCTTTGTAATGGATTTGCTCCAGAGCACCCTAAAGATAAATTTATAAATGTTCCTATCAGAAACAGAAACATTTTCTCTGCTGTGTAAATCACCAAACCTTAATTCAAACAAAAAACAGATATAGGCCCAGGGAGTGCTTTAACTTAAATCACAAGTCTCCATGGCAGAAGGTCATGTAAATTGCTATACACATAGTGAATGACTCCTTGATATAAAACACAAATATAATCCTAAAAAGACAACCTTAAAACAGTACTCAATACAAGTCTTTTCAAAATGCAGATGACCAACAGGCACATGAGAAGATGCTAATCATAAGAGAAACACATATCAAAACCACAATGAGATATCATCTAGCATCTGTCAGAATGGCCATTATCAAAAAGAACACAGATAACAAATGCTGGCGAGGATGTGGAGGAAAGGGAACCCTTTTACTGTTGGTGGGAAGGTAAATTACCACAGTCACTGTGGAAAACAGTATGGAGGTTTCTCAAAAACTAAAAATAGAACTACCATGTGATCCAGCTATTCCACTCTGGGTATATATCCAAAGAAAATGAAGATACTAATTTGAATAAATACATGCACCCCAACTTTCATAGAAGCATTATTTATAATTGCCAAGATATGGAAGCAACCTAAGTGTCCATCAACAGATGAATGGATAATGAAGACGTGGGGTGTATGTGTGTATGTGTGCATGTGTGTGTGTATGTGTATGTGTGTATGTGTATGTGTGTATATGTGTATGTGTGTGTGTATGTGTGTGTATGTGTGTATGTGTGTGTGTGTATACATACATATATTTATTTATTTATTTATATGTGTCCCAGTGTATGTGTGCTCAGTTGCTTAGTCGTGTCCAAGTCTTTGAGACCCCATAGACTATAGCACACCAGGCTCCTCTGTCCATGGGATTTTTCAAGCAAAAATACCGGAGTGGCTGGCCACTTCCTTCTCCGGAGGATTTTCCCAACCCAGAGATCGAACCCACGTCTCTTGTGTCTCCTGCATTGGCAGGTAGATTCTTTATTACTAGCACCACCTGTGAAGCCACATATATATATATATATATTTTGCCATTTGCAGCAACATGGATGTACTTGGGCTTTGTAGGTGGTGCTAGTGGTAATGAACCCAATTGCCAATGCAGAAGATACAAGAGATGCAAGTTTGATCCTTGGGTAAGGAAGATCCCCTGGAGGAGGGCATGGCAACCCCTCCAATATTCTTGCCTGGAGAATCCCATGGAAAGAGGACCTGGCAGGCTACGGTATATACGGTTGCAAAGAGTTGGACACACCTGAAGCAACTTAGCAGCAGGAGGATGTATTATGGTAAGGCATTATGGGCATTATGCTAAGTGAAATAAGTCAGAAAGAGACAAATACTGCATGATATCATTTATATGTGAGAACTAAAAAATGCAACACTACCATCTTTCTAAATTCCATATATATGTGTTAGTATACTGTAATGGTCTTTATCTTTCTGGCTTACTTCACTCTGTATAATGGGCTCCAGTTTCATCCATCTCATTAGAACTGATTCAAATGAATTCTTTTTAATGGCTGAGTAATATTCCATGGTGTATATGTACCACAGCTTCCTCATCCATTTGTCTGCTGATGGGCATCTAGGTTGCTTCCATGTCCTGGCTATTATAAACAGTGCTGCGATGAACATTGGGGTGCACGTGTCTCTTTCAGATCTGGTTTCCTCGGCGTGTATGCCCAGAAGTGGGATTGCTGGGTCATATGGCAGTTCTATTTCCAGTTTTTTAAGAAATCTCCACACTGTTCTCCATAGCGGCTGTACTAGTTTGCATTCCCACCAACAGTGTAAGAGGGTTCCCTTTTCTCCACACCCTCTCCAGCATTTATTGCTTGTAGACTTTTGGATAGCAGCCATCCTGACTGGCGTGGAATGGTACCTCATTGTGGTTTTGATTTGCATTTCTCTGATAATGAGTGATGTTGAGCATCTTTTCATGTGTTTGTTAGCCATCTGTATGTCTTTGGAGAAATGTCTGTTTAGTTCTTTGGCCCATTTTTTGATTGGGTCATTTATTTTTCTGGAATTGAGCTGCAGGAGTTGCTTGTATATTTTTGAGATTAATCCTTTGTCTGTTGCTTCATTTGCTATTATTTTCTCCCAATCTGAGGGCTGTCTTTTCACCTTGCTTATAGTTTCCTTTGTTTACAGAATACTAACACATATATATGGAATTTAGAAAGATGGTAATGATAACCCTATATGCAAAACAGAAAAAGAGACACAGATGTACAGAACAGACTTTCGGACTCTGTGGGAGAAGGCGAGGGTGGGATGTTTCGAGAGAACAGCATCGAAACATGTGTATTATCTATGGTGAAACAGATCACCAGCCCAGGTTGGATGCATGAGACAAGTGCTCAGGGCTGGTGCACTGGGAAGACCCAGAGGGATCTGGTAGAGAGGGAGGTGGGAGGGGGGATCGGGATGGGGAATACATGTAACTCCATGGCTGATTCATGTCAATGTATGACAAAACCCACTACAATAATGTAAAGTAATTAGCCTCCAACTAATAAAAATAAATGAAAAAAATAAATAAAAAATAAAAAAATAAAGAGACTAGGAAAAAAATGAATAAAAAATAAAAAATGCAACAAACTAGTGAATATAATAAAAAAAGAAACAGCCTCACAGATACAGAGAACAAATTAATGGTTACCAGTGATGAGAGTGGAGAGGGGCAATGTAGGGGTGGGAGGTATAAACTCTTGAGTGTAAGGTAGGTCCAGGGATGCATTGTACAATAAAGGGGATATAACCAATATTTGTAATAACTGTAAATGGAAAGCAATGTTTAAACATTGCATACAAAATTAATAAACAAAACCAAAATTTTAAAAGTACAAGTCCTTTCAACTTCTATTATAAAATTGAGACTTATTTCCAAAGAAAGAGTATCAAAGCAAAAATATCAGAGATACAGAAACCAAAAATCACGCAAATGTAAGTAAGTACACATCTGTGTCTGCATATGCACATGATCTCAAAGAACAGGAGCTGCCAGGAGATAAAACTTGGAAGAACAGCTGTACTTGGAACAGTCCATGGCTTGAGAAGAGAAGCAAAAACTCTATCATAAAAGAGGTAAGATTTACTTACGATGGCTTTAAAATTGAGGACTTCGCCCTTGAGAGCAAAAATCATCGTAGTACCTCCTATTCCACTCTTAGGTCTTGAAATTAATAGCAGTGAAGCTTCAGCAGGATGGAGGAAGCGACTGGTAAATTTCAGAGTGATAGTAATTTGGTTTCTATTTAACAAAAGATAAAAGAAAATACTGTAATGAAAAAAGACAACAAGCATCTATTCAGTGAAGATCATATACCTAGTACACACACCCAGCAAAATACTCACTTCTACAGTAAAATTAAAGATTGTTGCAGATTTTAGAAAGCCTATAATCTAGTTATTGCTGTCAGTCAAAACATATTGATCCAGTCTGTAAAACCTAAAGTTAACTTCCAAATGCATATATAATCTACCGAGTATTTGATTTTCTAAGAGTTAGCCACAGGAAATCATGTATGCATTTTTTGTGTGAATTTTATAGGACATTCTGGGCTACTGGTTAGGCACATTCTTAGTTACATCAATGACTTTTGATTACATGGAGGAAAAAATGAGAAAGACATTCAAAAAAATACTTAAAATTGTGGTTGAAAATAAAATTCAAACCTCAAATCAAAATAACAGCATATAAGTAGCATGACTTTTATTTGAAAGACAAACTTAATTAAAGGAAAGAATAAAGAAAACATGTCTATCTCCTTTAATTTCAACTTTCTAGTCTAAACCATAGCAAAACAGTTAAAGAATCTATGGACTTGGAAACTTTATTTCCAAGTTTTTAGGGGAATGACTAAGCCATGGCACCCTGGCAATCCTGCATAACCACACAGGCCACACAGATGCAAAGTTTAACTGCAGTGGCTATAAGTGTTGCCAAAAAGTTCTGTGATCCTCCCATAACATGAGACCATGGAGTTTCAGGAAAAACTGCGACAAGAACATTTATTTGCCTCTTTATCTTCTGTGAGAGGCTGTCAGCAGACAGTTTCCCATCGACTCCGCCTAGCCCCCTACAGCATAGTCACAGGCTAGAAAACTGCTTAATTGCAGCATGAATCTGTCAGCAACAGGTGTCCTCCCATGCATGATGCAGTCTTCTGGCCCCTTTTGTTTTGGCGTCACTCTGCATAAGGGGCATGGAGTTCTGTCCCTCTGGTAACTTTTGCTTTTGCTGTCTATGTAAATAATGAGCTCTCTGTTTGAAACATGGGCTCAATGCTTCTTTACTGGCTGAATCTTTCCGCCTTACCTTTCCACAGCTGTAGGCGGTAAACCTTAGAGACTTTTATCTTTGCTTTTTCTCTGCCTTTTAGCATAGTTAGCACTATACATCATATCACAGTTATTCTTTGCGCAAACTATCACCTGGCATTTTCCCTTAGGATACACACAGTTGGGAACAGAAATGGCAATAGCTTCTCTCAGCATTAAACTATGGCTTGACTTCCCCAGAATCTTTGAAGAATCTCTGTCGAATAGGGGAGCTTAGGGTGCAGCATAGAGTAAAGTGAATGGAGGACTTTCAAAATCAATTGAAATATTCTCAAAATTGATTTTTAGGGAAAATTACAACTCGGAACTAGCAGGAATGGGAGAATTTTATTCAGATATAATATAACTAATCTCAACTACTGCAAAAGGACACCTTCCTGACTATTAGAAAAAGCTCATGTACTTAAATTTAACTGAAAGGAAAGAATACTTGACCTTGACATTTTTTTCTGGGTGTTTTTCAAACTCTGTATTAGGATACCTGTGATTTAGGAGTTTTCTAGATATTCAAAAATTCATTACTAGATAAAGTCATACATTCAATTAAAATTTATAATGTTCCAGACTTTGTTTTAGATTTGGGGGATAGTTAGAGAAAAAAAAAACCACACTACTCCTGAACTCCTGGATCTTTTGTTTTATACAACATGGCAGACATTAATTACATCATTATAAAATAAATGTGAAAACAAACTATATATGTGCTATGAAGTGATATAAGGGCATGTAATGGAGAATGTGATACAGTCTGAAGGGTTAGAGGAAGTGATATGTTAGGTAGGATATGGAGGATGAGAATGAGTTAGGTAGGATTTGCCTGGGACAAAAGAAGGCAACCAAGCACTCTAGTATGATGAATTCTAATAATTTTAAATAATTTATCAAAGGCCAGTGGTATTGAAGCTTAGAAAGCAAGGTGTCAGTGATACAAGATGTGGTTAAGAGCCAGCCATGAAAGGCCACATGGGCTATGTTGCGATATTCAGTCTATATCCTATGGTGACGGGAAGCTATTAGAATATTTTAAGCCAAAGAGTAACATGACTAAACTTACATTAAAAACATTATTGCTAGTCTAATATAAAGGATGGACTGCAGATAATCCTTTTAGGAATCGATTGTAGTAGCCCACTTTAAAGGTGATCATTTCAGTTCTGTTGCTCAGTCGTGTCTGATTCTTTGCGACCCCAAGAACCGCAGCATGCCAAGCCTCCCTGTCCATCACCAACTCCCGGAGTTTACCCAAACTCATGTCCATTGAGTCAGTGATGCCATGCAACCATCTCATCCTCTGTCATCCCCTTCTCCTCCTGCCCTCAATCTTTCCCAGCATCAGAGTCTTTTCAAATGAGTCAGCACTTCGCATCAGTATTAGAGTTTCAAAGTATTAGGCCAAAGTATTAGAGTTTCAGCTTCAACATCAGTGCCTCCAGTGAACACCCAGGACCAATCTCCTTTAGGGTGGACTGGTTGGATCTCCTTGCAATACAAGGGATTCTCAAGAGTCTTCTCCAACATCACAGTTCAAAAGCATCAATTCTTCAGTGCTCAGCTTTCTTTATAGTTCAACTCTCACATCCATACATGACTACTGGAAAAACCATAGCCTTGACTAGACAGACCTTTGTTGGCAAAGTAATGTCTCTGCTTTTTAATATGCTGTCTAGGTTGGTCATAACTTCCCTTCCAAGGAGTAAGCGTCTTTTAATTTCATGGCAGCATCACCATCTGCAGTGATTTTGGAGTCCCCAAATATAGAGTCAGCCATTGTTTCCACTGTTTCCCCATCTATTTGACATGAAGTGATGGGACTGGATGCCATGATCTTAGTTTTCTGAATGCTGAGCTTTAAGCCAACTTTTTCACTCTCCTCTTTCACTTTCATCAAGAGGCTCTTTAGTTCTTCTTCACTTTCTGCCATAAGGGTGGTGTCATCTGCATATCTCAGGTTATTGATATTTCTCCTGGCAATCTTGATTCCACTTGTGCTTCTTCCAGCCCAGCGTTTCTCATGATGTACTCTGCATATAAGTTAAACAAGCAGGGTGACAATATACAGCATTGACGTACTCCTTTTCCTATTTGGAACCACTCTGTTGTTCCATGTCCAGTTCTAACTGTTGCTTCCTCTCCTGCATACAGGTTTCTCAAGAGGCAGGTCAGGTGGTCTGGTGTTCCCATCTCTTTCAGAATTTTCCACAGTTTATTGTGATCCACACAGTAAAAGGCTTTGGCATAATCAATAAAGCAGAAATAGATGTTTCTCTGGAACTCTCTTGTTTTTTCAGTGATCCAGCAGATGTGGGCAATTTGATCTCTGGTTCCTCTGCCTTTTCTAAAATCAGCTTGAACATCTGGAAGTTCAAGTTCATGTATTGCTGAAGCCTGGCTTGGAGAATTTAGAGCATTACTTTGCTAGCGTGTGAGATGAGTGCAACTGTGCAGTAGTTTGAGCATTCTTTGGCATTGCCCTTCTTTGGGATTGGAATGAAAAGTGACCTTTTCCAGTCCTGTGGCCACTGCTGAGTTTTCCAAATTTGCTGACATATTGAGTGCAGTATTTTTCAAAGCATCATCTTTTAGGATTTGAAATAGCTCAACTGGAATTCCATCACCTCCACTAGCTTTGTTCATAGTGATGCTTCCTAAGGCCCACTTGATGCTTCCTAAGGCTTCACATTCCAGAATGTCTGGCTCTAGGTGAGTGATCACACCATCGTGATCATCTGGGTCATGAAGATCTTTTTTGTATAGTTCGTATGTGTATTCTTGCCACCTCTTTTTAATATCTTCTGCTTCTTTTAGGTCCATACTATTTCTGTCCTTTATTGAGGCCATCTTTGCATAAAATGTTCCCTTGGTATCTCTAATTTTCTTTAAGAGATCTCTAGTCTTTCCAATTCTATTGTTTTCCTCTATTTCTTTGTATTGATCACTGAGGAAGGCTTTCTTATCTCTCCTTGCTATTCTTTGGAACTCTGCATTCAAATGAGTATATCTTTCCTTTTCTCCTTTTCTTTTTCCTTCTCTTTATTTCACATCTATTTGTAAGGCCTCCTTAGACAGCCATTTTACTTTTTTGCATTTCTTTCTCTTGGGGATGGTCTTTCTCCCTGTCTCCTGTACAGTGTCACGAACTTCCGTCTGTAGTTCATCAGGCACTCTGTCTATCAGATCCAGTCCCTTAAATCTATTTCTTACTTCCATTGTATAATCATAAAGGATTTGATTAAGATCATACCTGAATGGTCTAGTGGTTTTCCCTACTTTCTTCAATTTAAATCTGAATTTGGCAATAAGGAGTTCATGATCCAAGCCACAGTCAGGTCCCAGTCTTGTTTTTGCTGACTGTATAGGGCTTCTCCATCTTTGGCTGCAAATAACATAATCAATCTTATTTCGGTGTTTGCCATCTAGTGATGTCCATGTGTAGAGTCTTCTCTTGTGTTGTTGGAAGAGGGTGTTTGGTGTGACCAGTGCATTCTCTTGGCAAAACTCTATTGGCCTTTGCCCTGCTTCGTTCTGTACACCAAGGCCAAATTTGCCTGTTACTCCAGGTGTTTCTTGACTTCCTACTTTTGCATTCCAGTCCCCTATAATGAAAAGGACACCTCTTTTGGGTGTTAGTTCTCAAAGGTCTTATAAGTCTTCATAGAACTGTTCAACCGTTCAACTTTTTAAAGGTGATAATACATTATATTAGCTTGAAAGAGGTAGGTAAAGGGAAGGATTCCAAATTTAAGATATACTGTGTAAAATCAGTAAGACTACATAATGGATTGGCTCTCATGGAAGACGATGAAAAAAGGAGCTCAAGAATGACCATAATCGATGGGATTTCTATGGTGGTCCAGTGGTTAAGAATCCGCCTTGCAATACAGGGAATGCAGGCTCAGTCCCTGGTCAGAG